CTTCGATATATCGAAATACACGGGGGCAGCGGTTTTATTGGCTTTGCAGAAGTTTTTGTATAAAACTCATAGACGCGTGGCTTCTTCGTGCGCAACTTTTACCTCATAAAAATTAGATACGCGAGAAAAATAAAAAACAAAAAAAAAAAAAAAAAAAAAAAAAAAAAAAATAAAATAACGAGCGTCGTCTGATTGTCACGAAACATATCAATTCTCTCACGAGAGGTAATAACCGAATGTATATTCGGCGGTGTGTGTATGTCGGAAACCTATATATGTCTTTCTTCCGTATATGTGCACGTATTTACGTATTACGTAAAGAACATGTTGAGAAATGTTTATTTAAACAAAAGTACGAAAAGTCACGACAAGAGGAAAGAAACAGGAAAAACGCAATACAAAATATACACTTCTACATTGAAATCTATCACATACACACAATGGTGTTAATCGTCGAACAAAACGTATTAGTTAGAGTTATTATATCATTAACATATCTTTTCAAAAAGAAAAGCAGAATATATTCCATATATTTGAAATATATATAGTGTCTTTATTGTTGAATGTGTATAAAGATGTGATATATATATATATATATTTAATGTTACCGTATAATCTTGTCATCACGAGATATATAATTTATAAGTATATTTTATTGCGAGAAGCAATATAGTTTTCCGATATGCGTATTATAATATAACATTTCATCTAGTCTCGCCTCGCCGCTGGGGAAATACAATGTTTTTCAGGCTGGCAAATGTGTATGCACATACACACACACACACACACACGCAAACACATATACCTACACACACATACGTTCCTCTGTTATCGCGCGCGCAGTTTTATAAAAAAATCCTGCAAAAAGAACCTAGCGAAACGTAATATCGGCACTCTCGAATTACTCGATTCCGTTTACTATAGATCTCGCGTTTTTCAACGGGTAGTGCTTTCTACCTACTTCTGCGATACGCACGTGTTTGTTTGTTTTTTTTTGTTTTTTTTTTTTGGTTTTTAATGGTTTTTTTTTTACGCCCCGTTTTACGCGATGTTCGATAATATCGGTGAAATAATCTAAACTCTATTTCCGACAATAATTTTAGAGAAGCGAACAACTCTTTCCCCGAGTAAACTTATGATAAGACGCACACATAGATAGACGCAGCAGACTCTTTTTTGATATCGTTTCACCAATTAATTCGCGCACACGCGGAAGTCTTGTGTATTCCGTTGTTGGGAAACAACACACATGTACAACAAGAAATTCGAAGCAAAATAAGAATAGCACGAGTTCAAAAACCGCGAGATGGAAAATTCGAATAAAAGTTATTTTCCGCGACGAAAAGTCACGAGTCGTGAGAAATCGTGTCCGTTCGCTCGAGCTATATTTGCTTTCGATTTCTGTTGTATTTCATGCAAACGGGAGAATATCAATGAAACGGGACGTACGTATAATATAGTATTGTATTCCTCTTCTCAGTAGATGTATTTTTACTAAAAAGAGAGAGACAAGCTTGAAAAATATAATGTCGCAGCGGCTGGGCATCTAGAGAGCTGCGAATAAATAAAAAACAAAAACAAAAAAAAAATCTATAGAAGTAAGTCACACTCGAGACACTCGAATCAGAGTTTTGGTCAACGTTCACACGTCCGTCAATTGGTTTTCATTGCTGTTTACAAATCTGATAATTGAACGCGTTACAACATCGTTATTTATTTACTTTCTCGCGACGATATACAAAATCTAATTTTACAATGTAATTTATAAATTCTATATAAATTTTATATAAATTTTATATAATATGTACATAATTCATACGCAAAATTATATATTAATTATACGTAATTTTATTTTGAACGTCTGCCGGCAAAAACCGGCAAACCGTCGAAACTCTGATGCGACTATCTGTAGAGGGTAGAAAAAAAAATTATGGCCGTCGTGCTTACACGGCCATCTTTTTCAAGTTGTTGAAGTACTACTTACTATTGGGGGGGGGGGGGGCGCGTTACTCGTCGATACGACGTATAGAAAAAGATTTGATGCGAACATCTCTTACATCATAAAAAAAAAAAAAAAAAAAAAACCCCGGTTTATATTAGGATCACCTGCATGGGATTATCTATTTTTGTCTGTGTTTACAGCTCCTTCAAAAAAACACATCTCGGTCCTTTCTCTACTTTTTGTTTTTTTAATAACTCAAAGCAATTTTTGAAGCGGTCGCATCGGCTGTAGCGTTTAAGACTGACTGTTTAAGCTTCGGTGGCTAATACTTTTTGAAAAAAAAACACTTAAGTGAGAAAGGATTACACGTGATATTGAACCTTCTGCTAGAGTGAACGCATAAACGATGCTTTCCTACGCATGCTTCACAGTACGCATCTCGTCACGACTGCGGAGGAGGGGGAATTAGAATATATAACAGAGCAAAAGATTGATGAACTCCGGAATAATTCCCACAGTTTAAACAGTTTCGTGTAATCACGGAAATAATTAGATATTTTTGCGAGATTAAACTACATACTTTCGGTTTAAAAAAAAAAAAAAAAAAAAAAATAGTGAATTTTTAACGGAGATAATAAATCAATTGTCATAGTAGTTAAGGAAGAAGAAATCTCTGTAGGGAACAAGGCGCGCCGCGTGTAGTGCTTCGTAGATTAACGAATACAATTTTTGTATGATTGACGGATTTTTATGCGTATATTTCCGACTTCAAACTATATATATTTACTATAAAAAAAAAAATAAATAAAAAAAATAAAAAAACACCCGAAGCGTAATATATCTTGATCCGATATCAAGTGTGCGAGTGCTTACGTGCTTTCGAACTTGCGCATGTACTACTTTTTAAGTTTTAATACATTTATACGACGTGTACAAGCCAAGCCATCAATCGTCTAAGCAAGGTTTTTGAGAGAAGAAGCTTAGTAATATGATATTTTTTAATTCAGAAGTGCCTTTTCTATGTATTATCTGCGAATTTATTAGAAAATATCTCTAAGCAGATCTCTCTCTCTCTCTCTCTCTTTCTCGGTCTGCGAATTAAGCGTCAGTCCTCTCGCTTGATATGAGCAAAGCTACAAATGTAGAAAATTGATCAAGAAAAGAAATCGCTTTTTTATTGACATCTCTCTCTCTCTCTCTCTCTCTCTCATCCTCTTTCTATCTTCTAGTGAAGCTATTTTTTTCGTTTCAACGTTCACTCTAGTGTGTCGCAAGTTTGAGATTTATTAGCGCGAATTTTACAGATTTGTTATTTCTAGCTGCACTTTCTCTTTATGTAAAATTGATCTCTCTCTCTCTCTCTCTTTCGTTTTACACATCTTTCCGCACAAGATTGTATTAAGCTCTATGAATTCTACGTCTCTGATTAAAAAAAAAAAAAAAAGAAATATTTGTTTTTTATTCGTGTATATGTTACATATTCAGTGTATACGTCATGTTACGTATTCAGATATTCATAACGAATTTGTTATCTGTCTTTTTTTTTTTACTCAAAATATCTCATGCAGAACAATTTTAGAAACAATGCGACGACTTAATAAGATAGGTTTGATTTTCATCTTTTATCGCATTGTGTATAAAAATATGAAAAAAAGTAGAAAAGTGCAGCTAGAGAGCGGATAGAAGTAATTTATCTTAACAATCTCTCTATATATACATATGACATAAAAAAAAAACAAAAGTCGACGGAGCGTAACACAGAAAATGGAGGATCTTGCTGAACGTTCGCTGCGGCTCGCGCGCAAGCCACGATGCTGCTTGCGGTGATCGTTGCTCTAATACCGTGTGTCTGTCGGATCTTCCCGGTGAGAAGCGGAAGCGCCGGGGCGGCGTCAAACGAGACCGACGAGGAAGTCGCGGTGCGCATCGTCGGCGGCGAGATCACCAGCATCAAGAATTATCCCTTCATCGTACGCGTGCGACGCGCCCATCTCACAGTCCCCTTAACCTTTGACATTTAACGTGACATCAGGTACAACGGACCTCGCGGCCCACGCCTAAATGTATGTGCGTGGTATGACAACTTCGACGTCACAAAGAACGTCACACCGGAAATGTGTTTTATCGCACTAGTTGTTTTTGGTGTGAAATAAAACAACCGAGTGTGGGAGCGAGATCGGAACACGTAATTCGCTTACGTGTACGCGCGTGGGATGTGATCAAATAATCTGTATTTCCGACGAAGATTTATCGAGACGTTTTTTTTTTCTTTTTTTTTTTTAAAGCGCTCGTGATATTCATGCGATAGGTGCGAACGTTTTTTGAATTTTTGATTAAGTGATCCGGTTATTTATCTCGCCGTGTAATATCGAGAAAAGGAAAACAATTTTCCGAAGGGATCAGTAGTTTTCACGAAACATCAATGTGAAAAATACAAAATTGCTCGTTCGTATGCGTGGGCGCGAAGGTTAAGGGGAAACCGACTTGGCTCAGAATCGGCCGAATCCGAATTTTTCAAAGTCAATTTCTCTTCTTAGGTCTCGATACAGCGTCGATACTCTAGCCACTCGTGCGGAGGCACTTATGTTGCGCCTAGGTTTGTCCTGTCGGCCGCCCATTGCATGGTCAGGTGCGTGTGCTACAAAAAAAAAGAAAAAAACAGACTGCGTTAATGCATTATTCTGCGCTACGTGTGAAAAGTGGTGTAGTCTTTCTCAACCTTCCTCTCTCTTGTTCTCTCTAGCCGAGGTGTTTTAGCACTTGTTTTTTACCAATTCGTACGCTCTGTGCGTTTCCCGGCGCAATTTCTTTAACTCTAATTCTGAACCTTTGGGTCTTTTGTCCGGCATCTTCCGAACTAACTCTGTTAAAACATCATTGAAACTAAATCATGTAAATTGTTGCTTCGTTAAATATATATATATATATAAAAAGAACATATTAGTAAACGCTTAAAAGATGCCGCAGTATTTTTGCCACGTTCTTCAATATTTTAAAATCAAATAAAATACGTCAGAGATCCACGGTTCACTTTTACGATTCACAAGAGACGGTTCAGGATTAGGATTAATTCTCTCTTTCACTTGGGGATGAAACAGATGTCTACTTGAAAAAGCGTATTAAAGTTGTTCGAAGATATTCAGGAGAAAGAAGGAGTTCTGTGTGTGAAAATATATCATTAGCTATAAAAAAATATAAAAAAATTGCAGAAAAATATTCAACACGAAGCGCACTCTTTGAGTTTTACTCTGTTAATTATCAGCTGTGAATTTTCTTTTTTTGTTTTTGGAGTGCAATGAAAAAAAAAAAAAAAGACTCTTTCTTTCTCAAGTGCGTGTTTCTCACAGTGAGTTCTTCCTTATTTGCTCGCAATTTGAGACATGTCTGCAAAAGCGTGCATATTTTAAAAGCTTAACACACGTACATTAAAAGCTTACACACACGTTTATCCATTATCACCGAAGGCTTCCGTAGCCAATTAAAATTTAAGGAAACAAACTGCCATGTCGTACAGCGAATTCGTCATCTCTTCATATTTTTTCCGTGTGATGTAGTTTGTTATACATAAAATTGAAGAAACTATATTCTTTTTTTTGAAACTTTTAACTTTCAGATTTAAAATGAGTTTTGCCTAGAGAAAAAGAAAACCGTGTTTTCAAAATCTCTTTTTAGCCGGTTGAGAGACATATTATGTAACACTTTGATGTTCTCTCTTTCTTTCTTTCTTTTTCTCTCTCTCTCTCTCTTGGAAAAAAATATAATTACGTGTTAAAAAAAACGAACATCCCGGTGAAAGACGTTTGAAGATTACACCACACGTGTAAGGCATTGGTAGCCGTGTTTAATCTCCTTGCTACTGTAAATGTGTGTACAATGTTTGTTCCCGAGAAAACGAGGCTTGCGTTTATGCGATGTACAATGACGCGTGTATCTTGTAAGATATAATTTGCCGCCATTTGTGGAAAACCAAACACACATACACACACACACGTCGACAAATTCAAATTTCCATTAACCTACTTCGACGATGCCATGTGTTTTTCTTTCCCTCTAACACATACATATTCTATTGAACACTACCCATTAAAATACATATTTAAAAGAACATATCCGTACGATAAAGTGAACATATCTGTGTGCAAATGTAACGCGCGAGTTACAGACAAGTACAATGTTTCACGAATGGTGGCCGATTCATATCGCGCGTGTGTGGAATAATTACTTTTTTACACTACCTACTATATAAGTAAATCGCTTCTTTTGACTATATACATACAATACAAATATACATATATATATATATAAATATATAAATGTGGTCACAGCGGATGAACAAGATCGGCAGAAGAATGGACGTGTATTTCGCAGAGTGGGATTGAGATGTAGGAGCGATATATTGAGATATAGGAATAACAACCTGTTGACAATCGGGGGGGATAATTACTGTCACACCGGGATGAGTGTTGTTGATTTCACCCTTCTCCCTCCCTTCCCGCGCCTTTCAGAGCTTGTTCATCCGCCCGTGTGATCACACCTATTATTTGTCTCCGACTGTGAGTAGTGTGTAACGTGCTGTTTTAGAAATTTAAATTATATATGTTTCACGAGTAACGAGAGGGTTAGCGGCGCTAGATTCTACCTAAAAGGCAATGATATTTGTCGCGGTATCTATTTGTGTATCGATTTAGCTGTGTAACTACTACTACCACTAGCGGCGATGTGTATACTAATCGCGCGTGAACGTATAGTTGTTTTACGCGTGCGAGTTCAGCGGCTGCCCGTGATTGCATACATTGTAAGGGAAATTGAGACACAATTGGATGTTTTTTTCGTTTTATTTAACAAGAGAGAGTATTCAAATTGAAATGAGAGAAGTAAAATTTTGAGGTAGAACCGCTTTTTTTTTTTTTTTTTGTTATTCTATAAAACGACGTAAGAAAAATTTTTTATAAAATATATCATTTTTTGTTACATAGTACAATGGCACTTGTTAATCTTTTGAGAGAAATTTTATCACGTTTTCTTTTTAAGTTCGCTTGTTTGAAGGATCTCTTTGCAGCCACTGAGAAAAAAATCGATATCGCGTATTATCCGTCGTTAAACTCTTCGCGTTCAATTGCGTCTCGGTTTTCATTGCCGCTCCGATGTTTAAGTGAGGGAGAAAAAAAAAAAAAAAAAAAAAAAAAAAAGAAAAAAAAAATAAAATAAATTGCAAGTTATATATAGATCGCGAGATAGAAAGAGCGCACTTCTG